AATTGGCTAGAGAACTGGTTAGAGAACTGGCTAGAGAACTACCTAGAGAACTAGCTGGAGAACTGCTAGAGAACTGACTAGAGAACTGACTGGAGAACTGGCTGGAAAACTGGCTGGAGAACTGACTAGAGAGACTTTCAGGCGTGCCCTGGTGAGAGGGACGTTCTGTAAATAATGTCAGACTGACGAAAGTGACGGTCCAGATGTCACTGGCTGGAAAACCACTCCAGCGGCTCGACAAATGCGTATGCAGGTGTTGGTGTGCAGGTGTTGGTGTGCAGGTGTTGGTGTGCAGGTGTTGGTGTGCAGGTGTTGGTGTGCAGTCACCGAAAGGGAGGCAACAAATAGATATGAGATATTAATAAAGAAGTCCGTGAAACTCATCTCCGTATCAGATTTGTTTCAGAGAGAATTAAGAAGATTATCACAAAAACTGAGGTCCGCCGTGACCTAGCAGCTAGACGCTCGCCTGCCGTGACCTAGCAGCTAGACGCTTGCCTGCCGTGACCTAGCAGCTTGACGCTCGCCTGCCGTGACCTAGCAGCTAGACGCTTGCCTGCCGTGACCTAGCAGCTAGACGCTTGCCTGCCGTGACCTAGCAGCTAGACGCTTGCCTGCCGTATCCTAGCAGCTAGACGCTCGCCTGCCGTGACCTGGCAGCTAGACGCTTGCTTTCCGTGACCTGGCAGCTAGACGCTTGCCTGCCGTGACCTAGCAGCTAGACGCTTGTCTGCCGTGACCTAGCAGCTAGACGCTTGCCTGCCGTGACCTGGCAGCTAGACGCCTGCCTGCCGTGACCTAGCAGCTAGACGCTTGCCTGCCGTGACCTGGCAGCTAGACGCTTGCCTGCCGTGACCTGGCAGCTACACGCTTGCCTGCCGTATCCTAGCAGTTAGACGCTTCCCTTCCGTATTCTAGCAGCTAGACTCTCGCCTGCCGTGACCTAGCAGCTAGACGCTCGCCTGCCGTGACCTAGCAGCTAGATGCTTGCCTGCCGGTTCAAAGGTCATAGGTTCAGCTTCTGACGGAGCCAAATTTTTAATTTGTGTAGAAATGACCTTGACCTCCAGGTTGACCCCGCCATAACTGGTATCAGGGACATACAGCCTTAGGAATCAAATGCTTCCGGCGTGATGTTGACCGATTCACTTACCGACCATTTTACAAAATATAGGTCTAGCCCAATATGCCCAACTCTCCTTAAGGCATGGAGAAAAATCCCTTCCCTTTTTTGTGTGTGTGAATTTTACTTTTTCACAAAGCATCAACGTAACCTCCAGTACACATATCATCAACATTGAAGCAACCAGAGATAAGTCGGCAGTATCTGATGGAGGTCAACAATACATATGACACGCTAACAGTTGAAAGCATGGGCAAATATCGGGATGAACATCCTGATGAGAAAATCATTAGCAAATAGGACTATTTCAAAACCAATATACAGAGAACAAATGAAAACTTGCCACTGAAAGAAAGACAAATCAAGTATGGATGAAAAGGAAACACGTAATAGTGCAGAGTTGCTAAAGAGTTATGGATTCAATGGAAATGTCCAGAAATAGAGGACCTGGACAGTGGTTAGTTGCTTATCTTTTACAGGACGTTGCAGAACCAACCTCGGCATATGTTGGCTGTTGTGGTTTTTCTAGGCAAATGTTACGTTCAGTAGTTTGCCATTGCTCTCTAAACGGTCAGCTGTCGTACCACTGTCGAAACCAACGCAAGACAAACTGACCGCAGCTGGGATCGAACACACCCCCCCCCCCCACCGGCATTACGCAATTACGCAACGCCTAAGCCTCAGACGTCGACATGTGGAAAGTAAATTTATGAAAACAAAACTGGCAAACAGCAGAGAAAATGTAATGGTTGAATCGGAGAAAAGGATGAAGAAATGTTAGTTAAGAATGAAGAATCATATCATCACAAGGTGGAGTGAATACACAAAGAACCTATCTTGGGATAACAGACATCAAACCACAACTGTTGTATCTTCACCATGGACCAAACATTTTAAAAGCAGACGTGCAGAAAGTTATTACAAATTACGGAAACCGGTCCTAGTAAAAACAGCCACGGAAATGATAAATCATGATCGGACTTTGGCGTCGATAACATCACTGAAATGTGTAATAATACTTCTATTACAAGCGTTTTTTCCGAGGCATTTGAAAACGTCTAGTTTTCATCACATTGCCCAAAACGTCCAGAGCCGTTGAGTGTGGAGAATACAGAACAATTAGTTTGATGTAACTCAAATATTGCTCAAGATCAGACAAGAAAGAATTCAAAATAAAATCATTATTGAAGTGTCTGAAAAACAGTTTACATTTCAGATGAAAAAAAAAAAAAGGCATCAGGGAAGCCATTATTAGACTAAAGATGCTGACTGAAAAATATCTAGGTCCAGAAAAATAGGTATGCATCTTTATAGATTACCAGAAGGCCTTTTACAGGGTGCAACATGAACAGATAATTGCATGCCTCACAAATAAGGATTAGATGGAAAGGATATGAGAATGTTTGGTAACCTTTACTGGGAACAAGTAGCAACAGTTAGACACAACAACATCGCCTCAACACAGATAGAGATCAACAAGAGCAGTACGTCAGGGGTGTGTGTTATCCCTAAGCCGTTTCAACTTATATACAATCTTTACAAAAGTTTAGGAATTGTCTGGATTAAATTGTAATGGAAGAGCAATAAAAGGTCATCTGGGATACCCGATTGACACAGTGTTTACTAGCAGAACGTAGGCAGCAAGAACTAGTCAACAGGCAAGGTGCAGAATATGGTTTCTACATTCACGTTGGAAAAACAAATTTTATGGTAATTAACAATGGAAAATAGCGACCAACAAGGAACATCCTGGTGAACAAATAGAGAGCTTTAGAACAAGTGACACGTCTTTCCTATCTAAGACAATTAGAAACAAGAGTTGAGTTGAATCAAGAATTGACATCACAGCACTCGGGACATTTTCATGCATGCTTCGTCCTCATCTTCAGCAGCCAGCGTAAAGTTCCAATACTGATGGTACCGGTCACAATCTGGTTAAGTGTCCGTCTTGCCTTTGCTCCGAGTGTAATGAGCCGGCCAGACTCTCTGGTTACACCCAGGTGCCTCATTCTCTCCAGGCCATAATAATCTTCTTTCTCTACTGATTCCGTTGCTTGTTCTCAAATAACCTTGACCACATCACGCAGTAACAGATTATGGAAGAAGGGAAACAGAAATCAAACAGAGAATAGAAAGGACTAAAACTAGTTTCAAAAAGAGGTCCAAGTTACTGACAGCTAGAGAGATCAAACACCAACAATTAGAATCGTCAAATATGAAGTTCACTTAGTCCTGCTATATGGTGCAGAAACTTGGACAATAAATATTCAACTGGAAAATCCAAATGAGTTCCTGCTAATGTGGTTACACAGAAGAATAGGTCAGTTTTCATGGAACAGAAACTAGTCCAGTACAGAGGTTCGGGACAGACGACAAATGAAAAGAGAACTACTGGAAGAAATAAACAAGAAAATACTGAAATCCTTCGGCAACATTAAAAGACATAACACACGTTTAAAAACTATACTGGAGAGAAAGGTCGAAACCAAGAGACAAGAGGTAGGCAGCGATACAAGTGAGAGGACAAACAACATCAAGAGATGGACCAACAGCAGTCTCAGTGAGTATACTACCAGGACAAGGGATAGAGCGTGTTGGAGATCCTCTGCAGCAATCATTCGATGTGAAGGGTAGGAGGATAATCAGTGCAAGAGGCAACATGAATCAATGAGTATATTGGTAATTGCTTGGTGTAGAATGAACCAAGAAGCGCGGTTTTCGCCAAAATGGAACCTTTAATGAATAACTTTGCATGTAATAAACTAGTAATATACCTTTAGCCTATTTCGGGGTGGGAGGGGGCGGGGGGGGGGGGGGGGGGGGTTCTTTTGTTTAGTTGCACGAATCAAACATGTGAAACACAACAAAACACTTACAGACATCCAATAACTGGTCCTTGCCTAAAATTGGCGGAATTCATTTTATGATACAATCACTAGTCTTTATCTTTTGGAGATAGCCAAAAGAATTTAGTGAAATGATACAATCGCTAGTCTATATCTTTTGGAGATAGCCAAAAGAATTCAGTGAAATGATACAATCGCTAGTCTATATCTTTTGGAGATAGCCAAAAGAATTTAGTGAAATGATACAATCATTAGTTTATATCTTTTGGAGAGAGCCAAAGGAATTCAGTGATATGACGCAATCACTATTTTATATCTTATGAAGAGAGCCAAGGGAATTAAATGATAAGACACAATCACTAGTTTATATCTTATGGAGAGAGCCAAAGGAATTCAAACGAATCAAGGGACGAGGGAACAACGCTGACTGTGAAATAGATTAGGTGCATGTTTTAATTAATATGTAACTACGATGTCTATTCTTTGATATCCGCAAGACAAAAGAACTAGGAGTAAATAATGTTTTGTCTTTTTTTAAACTAGAGAGGATTAAAGGGAAAGAAATGATGTGAGCATGAGGACATAATGGAACTACTAAATAGTTCAAAGGTCAGGAGAGTTATTAACAGGACGAGGTTGACGAACTCTTCCACACAGGGAGATACTTGTCGGCAACAATAGCGAAAGAGGATCCTATGTTGTTATGTATAGAATGGGCCGAAACAGATGCACTGGTTAACTCTCTGTGTGGGTTCCGGGTCCTCATTTTGAGGGGTTCAGGAGCAGACCCACTGTCCCGCTTCAACCATGTCTTAATAGTCGAAAGACTAGTGGTTTTCTGAAATCGGAGGTTCGGCCGAAAGGTGCACATGTCGAAGCCTAGCTGTAAATCACAACACAACGTAGCAGCCGCCCTTGTGAGAGCGACCGCAGAAGAAGAAAACAGCACAGTTTAGAGCATAACAGTTTATCGGAACTGTACAGATGAGTTCACACAGATATCATTCATGGATAGTTACTTACCGTAACCGTTATCTTCGGAAGTAAGTGGAGAACCAAAACGGCCGAATTCTGTGGTACTGTGAGGACTCCATGCCCAACTCCTCGTTGTTTAACACGGACCGCATCTCCCCTTCATCAGCATAACCAGGCGGGCTGTCCCGGACGCCAGGAGTAGCTACTGCTGTCCCGTTGCTGGACGCTTGGTATGAGGCCAGTCTTTGAGACAAGTCTAGAAGCCTCATGCGGATTCTGTCCAGGGCGTCAGGTCGCGAAAGTCTTCGCTCATCTACACTTGTAGTGCTTTCAGAGCTTCTTTTTTCGGCCAACACATATTGGCAGTATGGGCCGACAAAGCCGGATCTGCAGCGACATCTGCAGTGTCCCCAGACGCTGTTGTCCACCAGGAGGCGGCCTCCATTGGCACACGGAACCCCGCGACAAAGTCCAACACTCCGCGACTGCGACTGCGCTACGTTTAATGCCAGGATGAAGACAAACAGGGCAACTATCATCATTCCTGGCCGGCCTTGTCTGATCGTTTGAAGATTTCCCAAATTTTCAGAGACCCTTCTATCAGAAGAACTGTCCTTTCCTTTCAGACATCGGCTGTGGTTGGAAGTTTCGGAGCACCGCAGAAACGTTGACTGCGCCTGCGCTTCACGGCAAGACTCCGACCAGCAGATCATTTCCGGTGATGGAGCGTTAACGGTGAAAGCAAATGGTGACGAGGAGAACAAGACTTGTGTGTGAGACTGCCTTGCAGGAGAAAGTGCCGGAGAAAACAAACGATCCAAACATTTATTGAGGTCGCTAGCTGGCTCGGCGACACTCTGAGAACATGACCATACTCTGTTTACTATGGATGAATCTGCGGAACATATATCAGTGTTGAGCCGTGACTTCATGATCTGTGGCTCCATATGAAATGATACATGCAGCAAGTATTCCGTATTGTAGCTTCTGTTTAAACAACTGGTGTGAAGAATTATCTAACGGGTCATACAATAGAATTAGAAACAGTTTTTATATTACCTCCGGGCAACTGGAAACAATAACTTATGTTTTGTGTCGGTGAAAAGTCTAATATTGGTTTTTGTTATGCATAAACATTAATCACAATGTTAATAAAGATCATGAAAAACACCGGCGCTGTCGAATGGCGTACAAAAACTGTATAGCTCTGAGACGGACTGAATGAATGTACTTGCAAGTGTGCGCGCTATTTATAATGACTATCTCTTGTATCAAGAATTTCTCGCCGTGTCTAAACCAGCATACATCAACAGACGATTGTCACTGGTTGGTCAGATGGGTGATTTTGACTTTTGTATCATCCCGTGGGGTTCCGCAACACCCCCAGCTTTCGTCAGTGAGCCCACCTCTGCTGTCCGCCCCTCCCATTTCTATCCCCGGCTTTCCCCGCCAGGCTTCCGGAGTTGGACGTGAGAGTTAGATAGATCATTTAGTAACGTTTTCGGCCGTCAATCATTAGCTTAATAAATGGCGAGGCAGCGCTTTTACTCACAGCGCGTGATTATTGCACAGCAGCCTCCTACTCTCCCAGATAACCTATCTCATACCCTCATAACCAGATTATCTGATCTAATCATAACCTGATATCTCATAACCTTATCTCATAACCAATACTATCTCTTCATCTGTATAACCACCTTATCTCATCAATCAAACCTTATCTCATAACCTTATCTCATCTCATAACCTTATCTCATAACCTTATCTCATAACCTTATCTCATAACCTTATCTCATAACCTTATCTCATCTCATAACCTTATCTCATAACCTTATCTCATAACCTTATCTCATAACCTTATCTCATAACCTTATCTCATCTCATAACCATCTCATCCTTAATCCTTATCTCATAACCTCTCTTAACCTTATCTCATCTCACTCAACCTCATAACATTATCTCATCTCATAACCTTATCTTATCTCATAACCTTATCTCATAACCTTATCTCATCTAACCTTATCTCATAACCTTATCTCATAACCTTATCTCATAACCTTATCTCATAACCTTCATCTCATAACCTTATCGCATCTCATAACTTTATCTCATAACCTTATCTCATAACCTTATCTCATAACCTTATCTCATAACCCTATATTATAATCTTATCTCATCTCATATCCTTATCTCATAACCTTATGTCATAACCATATCTCATAACCTTATCTCATAACATTATATTATAACCTTATCTCATAACCTTATCTCATAACCTTATATCATAATCTTAACTCATAACCTTGTCTCATAACCTTATCTTATAACCTTATCTCATAACGTTATCTCATAACTTCATCTCATAGCCTTATCTCATCTCATAACTTTATCTCATAACCTTATCTCATAACCTTATCTCATAACCCTATATTATAATCTTATCTCATCTCATATCTTTATCTCATAACCTTATGTCATAACCATATCTCATAACCTTATCTCATAACATTATATTATAACCTTATCTCATCTCATAACCTTATCTCATAACCATATCTCATAACCTTATCTCATAACCTTATCTTATAACCCTATCTCATCTCGTAACCTTACCTCATAACCTCATCTCAAAACCTCATCTCACCTCAATACCTTATCTCATAACCTTATCTCATAACCTTATCTCATAATCTTTTCTCATAACCTTATCTCATAACTTTATCTCATAACCTTATCTTATAACCTTATCTTATAACCTTATCTCATAGCATTATCTCATAGCCTTATCTCATAACCTTATCTCATAGCCTTATCTCATTACCTTATCTCATAACCTTATCTCATAACCTTATCTCATAACCTTATCTCATCTCATAACCTTATATCATAACCTTAACTCATAACCTTATCTCATAACCTTATCTAATAACATTATCTCATCTCATAACATTATCTCATCTCATAACCTTATGTCATCTCACAACCTTATCTCATCTCATAACCTTATCTCATAACCTTATATCATAATCTTATCTCATAACCTTATCTCATAACCTTATCTCATAACCTTATCTCATAACCTTATCTCATAACCTTATCTTATAACTTCATCTCATAACCTTATCTCATCTCATAACTTTATCTTATAACCTTATCTCATAACCTTATCTCATAACCCTATATTATAATCTTATCTCATATCCTTATCTCATAACCTTATGTCATAACCATATCTCATAACATTATATTATAACCTTATCTCATAACCTTATCTCATAACCTTATATCATAATCTTAACTCATAGCCTTGTCTCATAACCTTATCTCATAACCTTATCTCATAACGTTATCTCATAACTTCATCTCATAACCTTATCTCATCTCATAACTTTATCTCATAACCTTATCTCATAACCTTATCTCATAACATTATATTATAACCTATCTCATAACCTTATCTCATAACCATATCTCATAACCTAATCTCATAACATTATATTATAACCTTATCTCATCTCATAACCTTATCTCATAACCATATCTCATAACCTTATCTCATAACCTTATCTTATAACCCTATCTCATCTCGTAACCTTACCTCATAACCTCATCTCAAAACCTCATCTCACCTCAATACCTTATCTCATAACCTTATCTCATAACCTTATCTCATAATCTTATCTCATAACCTTATCTCATAACTTTATCTCATAACCTTATCTTATAACCTTATCTCATAACCTTATCTCATAACCTTATCTCATAGCCTCATCTCATCTCATAACCTTATCTCATAACCTTATCTGATCTCATAACCTTATCTGATCTCATAACCTTATCTGATCTCATAACCTTATCTCATCTCATAACCTTATCTTATCTCATAACCTCATCTCATCTCATAACCTTACCTCATCTCATAACCTTATCTGATCTCATAACCTTATCTCATCTCATAACCTTATCTCATCTCATAACCTTATCTCATCTCATAACCTTATCTTATCCGTTCAAATGTCCCCAGAGCATTTTCTGAGACTGAAACAGCATTGTTATCCAGCACTGGGTGCAAGCTTCACTCGTCAGGGCGCTACTTGCACCAGCTCAATGACATGGGGCGTTACATGTCGCTGTCAGCTGACTTGACAATGCCATGATTGTGCCATATCACAAGGCCAAGTGCCTGTTTGAATGACATGCTCTGCTTCATGGAAACCGGTTTTGTACCTGTCTTTATAAAACCCTAATTTAAAACATGTTATTCAATTCTTTGCATTCAATAGCTCCTTATACATTTATATGTGTGTTTGTCGATTGTTTATGCATGTGTGTGTATATATATGTGTGTATGTGTATATATAATAGACACACATCAAAAATGGTTACATTTACAAGAGGGATGAGAAAAGGAAGAATATAAAGTACTGTGCGGGGTCCAAAGTTTGAGATTCTGTTTGAGTGTGTGTGTGCGCGCGCGTGTGTGTGTGTGTGTGTGTGTGTGTATGAACGGGAGTAGGCGGTAGAGGTAAGAGAATGCCGATAACTAGAAACTGGCTGGCCTGTTAGATACCCGCGTGTGTGTGTATGAACGGGAGTAGGCGGTAGAGGTAAGAGAATGCCGATAACTAGAAGCTGGCTGGCCTGTTAGATACCCGCGTGTGTGTGTGTGTGTGTATGAACGGGAGTAGGCGGTGGAGGTAAGAGAATGCCGATAACTAGAAACTGGCTGGCCTGTTAGATACCCGCGTGTGAGAAAGGATAGGTTGTGCGTCTGCGTGAAACACTCATCCACCTCTACGCGTGCAATTGAGGTTTTCACTGACACCGCCGACCAATCCCGATTGGGCGTCGTGGTTCTACCTACCCTGATTTACAGCCACGGCGTTTGAGCTGCAGTTTGCACTGGCTCGCACTTGAGTGCCGTCTCACCCTATACACATAAATACATCATCAATCATGTGACATCTCAGCAATTAAGGTTGGGTGCAATAGATCTCTAACACTTGGTTCATTGCACTGGCAGTACTTCGACAGGCTGGGGTGAATTCCTCCCGTGATAATATGTTCCTACTTTAGTTATCTACCCCTGGCTGACCAGCTAGAGCAGTATTCTTCAAACCCATGGACCGCGGACCATTGTGGGCCCGCTGGTCGGCCGCGGAACATTGTGGGCCCGCTGGTCGGCCGCGGAACATTGTGCGCCCGCTGATCGGCCGCGGACCATTGTGGGCCCGCTGGTCGGCCGCGGACCATTGTGGGCGCACTGAAAAGTCCAGGCTAGCTGCCACATTTGACTCCGTTCGGAAACGGAAACAATTGTCATCACTGAAATCAATGCAGATCCACGTGATCCATTGGCCTGCCCCAGAAGATGATTGTTTGTTAGAGTTGTTGTGGGTTTATGTGTGACAAAAATCTATGTAAGTAGAAACTCCACAGGGCAGCATGTACAGCAGGAGTCTACCAATCATCAGCTGAAGTAATCTCTCGTCGACAAATATTTCGGTTCACGAGCTCCTAGACATTTTCAGAGAGTGGGCCCACCTGAGTTCATGAGGCTCAGTGTTGATTTTCTCCTGCTGCACGTATTACCGGATGTTCTCGGACAGGGACAAGACTAAATTGGTGACTGAGCAAGAGGTACTGTGAGATTCGAAATGTATTTACATAGTCGCTGCGGTAGCATAATTAGAGCAGTCAGCATACCTGGACGACCAAGTGACAAGCTTACGGTTGGTTTATCGGACAAATGTTATACTTTGTTGGCAGATTGCAGAGGGACACTGGCAGACAATTCGGACACGGTGGACTTAAAGGGATAAGACTTTCTTTTCCACTGGATACCCGGACCAGCTTACCGAGGCCCGTTCCCCACGACCTTCCGTTGTGTCCAGAGCCAGTTCGAGGTCCTCTCCGCAGCCTCGCCCAGTTG